GGATGTCATAGCGCACCCCCACTCCCTTGCCCAGGCCTCTCTGCCTCAAAGGGGTGACACCACCCATTAGGACTCAGAGCTGGACTCAGGTAGCCCGGATCTCCCATACCCTTGACCTCACCCCCCCTCCCCCTGCCAGACCCAACACACACACACCTGGGTTCTGGCCTCAATGCCAGGCCTGCAAGACTCGAGGGGGGAAATAAAAAGTTTCCCATAGAAACGAGGCGGCTGGACAATTCCCTCTGAGTAGCCGCACGCTAACTTATGGCCATCGTGTCATCCCCAGGACGGTGCGGGTCAGAACTCTGAAAGTCAGCTTTTCGCCTTCCTGACAGTGACAGTGCGTGTCCGGTGAGGGCGTGGGTTCTCTGAGCGACACGAGGGCCCTTCCCTGTTTGGGGGCGCCCACAGATAGGTGTTTTGGGGGGGCGGACAGGCCCCCAAGCTGGCTTTGTGTCTGTGCTTTGCCCTTTGGTTCTGAAACCGGTGATTCAGTATCTGGCTCAGCTTTGCAGGGTGAGCTTGAGAGAGAGAAAGAGAGAGTGAGAGAGAGAGAGGGGTGGGCTAGAAGAGGGATGGAGTTGGAGGTGAGAGGCGGCAGTCCCCAGCCCTGGGGTTCATGCAGTGTCCCCCAGTATTACGCTCTGCCCTCCCAAAGCCGCCGGCTTTCCCCTAACACCAACACGGCCAGCAAACTTTCCCCCAAACCGGGGTCCTGTTACCAGCCAACGCTCAGCACTAACTGCTTTAAAATTGCTGCATAATTAGATTTAGCTGAATTTCACCATTAATTAGGCAGCCGCGCGGCGGGGCGCCTTTGAAATCGGAGAAAATGGGGAGGGGGGAGAAAAAAATCATCTGAAACTCAACTTCAATGCATCTCCACGAGGAGGCCCGGCGTTCAGAGGGGTCCCCACCCACCTCCGTCCCCTCCCGGGCTGGCCCAGGGTCCGGGGGGGCTGGGGCTGGCATTGCACCGACGGGGCGGGCTTGCCGGGCCCCGGGGCCTCCCCAGACCCTCCAGGCTCGTCCCAGGCCCGGCCAGGCGGGTCCACATGATTCTAGGGCCTGCGACCACCCGGGCCCTCGGCCCCCCACGTCCAGCCGGCGCCCCAAAAGCCAGCTTACCTAGGAAAGGCGCGGCCCTGCCCGCAGCCAGCTCTGCCCGCGTCCAGCGGCCTCGGGCCCCCGCCCCGCAGCGCGGCCCGCGCGCTGATGAGCCAAACCACCCACCGGTGTGCGCGCCTCCCCCTGCCCATCCGACCCTCCGGATCCGCGCACGATCCAGGCTTCGGCTTCCCCTGCACGGATGCTCCAGGGGAAGGGAGACCCGAGACCAACTCTCCGATGGCCGGGGAGCGGGGAGGAGATGGGGGGGCGCGCAGGGAAGGGGGCCCCGCGCTGGTGCCACGACCACCCGCACCCCCTCCCCACGCATCCCGCCGCCTTGGTGACAGGTCCCCGCGCCCCGTCGCAGAGGCTGCAGACGGAGCGGCTCTGGCCGCCCCCCTCCCCCCTTTTTTTTTCTTTTTTGGGGGGAATCAATGTGTTTCCTATTACCCGGCCCAGCCGGGGCGCGCGGAGGGAGCCACGGGAGACGCCATGTTGGCTCAGCTCGCAGGATCGAGCCAAAAAAAAAAAAAAAAGCAAAAAAGCAAAAAGCAAGCAGCTTGGAGGCAGTTTCACACGCTCGGAGCTCCCCGATCGCCCCCACCCCGCCCCCCGCCTCCGGCTGCGACCCCCGCCCGGTGCGCGCACGGCCCGGCCGGCCCCGCGCCCGGACCTCCCTCCGCCGCCGCCGCAAGTGGGGGGCGGGGTGCAGGGAGCCGGCACTGTCCCCGGAGGCGGCTGCTGCCAGCTCCAGGCCCCCCCAGATCCCCGATCCCCGCCCGAGGCTCCCCCGAACCAGCCCCGGACGCCGCCCCGCGGGCTCGGAGCGCGGCCCCGGGCACCAGGGGGCCAGGCCGAGGCCGGGCGAGCGCGCGCCCGGCGATCGGGCCGGGACACCCCCCCCCCAACCCCACCCCAGGGTCCCCCCCAGGTGGGTCTCCAAGTAGCCAGAAGCCGCGATCGCCCCCTAACCCGCCCCCCAGCTCCCCCCTCTCTCTCTTTCTCTCTCTCTCGCCTCGGACCATTGTTGCGTTTCGCGTCGCGAGGGGAGGAGGGGAGCGGGGCTGCAGAAGGAGAAATAAAGCGAGCTCAGATCGGGTGCAAAAAAAAAAAGAGAGAGACACTTAAAGGGAAAGAGTCGCCATGTTTAGCAGCTTTTTTTTTTTTTTTTTTTTAAAGATCTCGTCGATTTCACACACACACACACACACACACACACAGCGCGGCCGGCCCGGTCCCAGCCCCGCGCCTTTTGTCCCCATTCAGCGGCGGCGGCGGTACCTTTTGTTCTAACTCAGCGGGAGAAGAGAAACTTTCTTTAAAGCGATCGACTTCCACCCAGCTCAAGAACCTAAACAGATCCTCCTCCGAGCCACTCTCCACCGTATACAAGAGGTTTTGGTTTAAGCGTTTTCTTGGGGGGAAAGTAAAAATAAATAAATAATAAATAATAAAATGCGGAGTCCTTCCCCCCCGGGGGTGGCAGAGCCAAGGTCTGCTTTGCAACTTAGGGGAGAGGGAGCGATGAGAGGATCCCAGTGCCCAGGGCACAGGCGGGAAGCCGGGTGACACAGGTCTTTTGCTTTGGAAATCATACATTAGAATTACATGTCAATAATCGTGTGCAACGAGCGAACCCCGAACAGGCTGGGGAGCGGGCCTGCAAACTTCACACACTGGCAGAGAGAGAGAGAGGGGGGGGGGAAGGAGAAAGCAGACACCGACCCACAGAGCCTCCACGACCCGAGGGGTCAGGGCTGTTCTGCGTGAGAACACGCTTTCTGCCCATGTATGTGCACATACGTGATGGGGATGGGGAGCTGCCCGGATGCACACACATCACACAGGACCGGCCGTGGCCTGGGACCTGAGTGTTTCTCCCAAGTGGAACCGAGTTCCCAAAATGACCCCCTGTCTCGCTCCTGCCCTCCTCACCCCGTTTTTTTTTTTTTTTTTTTTTTTTTTAAGGGAAACCACAACACAGGGAAATGGGGGGCGGGGTGGGGTGCTGGGGAGCCCAGCTCCCAGGAGCAGAGGGAAAAGGGGGTGGGATGGGGAGGAGGGAAGAGACCTACTACCAGCTCAGCACACCCTGTCAAGTTTCCTTCCTTCCTTCCTCTCTCTCTCTCTCTCTCTCTCTCTCTCCCCTTTAATTTGGCTCATCAGGATCAAGGGTCCCAAGACCTGCCAGGATGTCCCTGTGATTTCACGTTCAGAATGCCAGTGGCAGACACTCCGCCCTGCACGCCACCCCCTTGCACTGGCAATCCTCTCAGCCACCTCGCTAGATAAGAACCACGGAATATATATATATATATATATATATATATTTAAAATCACACCTACTTCAGGAAAATCTCCATGCACACAGACCCCGCCTGACTGTCAGGAATGTACAACACACTTTTTTTAAATCCCTGATCATAAAATAGATAGCGGTCTCTGAATCTCCAATACTTTGCACCACACCTTCCCTTCTCCTAAGCAGGCACTTAAGTGGGACACAGCTCTTGTCCGTTTCAAGTCAGTGAGTGGGGACAGCCGACCAAGATTCCAGATATCAAATAATATTTTAATTTCTGAATACTTTCAAATTTTTCCTTGGAATATAACACACAAAGACTCGACCAAACAGTTCAGTTATTATAACTTTTACAGTATACAGAAATGTTGCACTTTAAAAAAAAAAAAAAAAACCTTCAGTTTTTTTTTTAAAACACAAACTGTAAACTCTAAGATACTGAATCAATCACATTATCTATAAGTGCCAACAGTGTTATTTTGTCATGCTGATTTCAATGGGTAACTTTTTTTGTTTTGTTTCTTTAAAAAGGGAATATCAACAGTTATAATACAAAGGGTTTGCAAATATACAAACAAATAGAGGGTATTCATAACAATCCAAGAACTAAGCGGGGACCCCAATTCAAATTACAAAAAAGTTCACTTTTTTTTATTCAAAACCTCAGCGTGTGTGTGTCTCAGACATACTTCTCTGCTGCCAATAAATTCCACAGTTCATTCTCTTTCTTAAAATATTTTTTTAAAAAGCTAGGTTCGTCTTGGTGTCTCTTTTAGGGGGGGGCAGGGAGGGGGAGTTAGATGTTGGATGTGGTTCCTGCAGATCTCAAATTAGCTCAAGTCGCTTAAAAATTTTTGGCCACCATCTTTAAGTGCGTTCCCACCATCTCTCGATTTCCTTTTAGAAAGTTTTATGTCTTCCTTCCTATGTTATTCTCATGGACTCAGTTTTAATTCTTGCAGAACATATAGTTTAAGGATACACAGGTTTTTTTTTTTTAAAGAAGCCAAGATTATATCAAAACTTATCATAGAACCACAGAATAAGCTGGTTTAGAACCAGGAAAATACAAAACAAAACAAAAACAAAAAACAAAACAAAACAAAACAAAAAAACCAGCTAGAGGTACAGATACAGGACAATGAATAAATTTGGAAAGAAAAAAAAAAGGACTTACTTTCTCCATTCTGCTAATTTTTCTCCCAATCTCCTCAAATGCACTTTTAGCAATAGTGTTCCAAAATTTACCAAAAAAAGAGGCTAATTTCCTTTTATACAAAAAAAAAAAAAAAGGTAAGTAGCAAGTTGTTCTGACCGACACAGGAGTTTTGTTTTTTTTAATGCATTCTGTAAAAGTTCACTTGACAGTCTCTTAATTTTTTTTTTTTTTTTTGGAAATTCACAGTCCATTAAAGTTCTTCCCCTCTCTTCTTTATTTTTAGCAAACGTGTAACATCCTTTTTTTTTTATATCCTTTCTCAACAGAAGGAATTAAGCAAACACACCAGTCTTTTTTTTTTCCGCCTTGGCTTTCTCTGTTTCGCTCCCCCTTCTCATTTTGATTTGAATTTTTGTTTTCTCTTTCTTATTGGATCGCCATATAGGGCCAGTTAAAACTGCTGCCGGACAGTAACATATCCCGGATGAGCGTTTCGATGGGAGTTTTACCTACCAAACGGACGAAAAACAATTGCTCTATGACTGAGGACGAGACGGTGCGGAGGGAGGGGAGGCGCAGGAGGAGCTTGCCGAACCGTGTGGGCTGGTTGGGGTACTGGCTGCGAACATATTCCTCCAGCGCGCACTGGGACTTTTCCTGCAGGCTCTCCACGTGGGCCACGTCCGACAGGCCGCAGGCATCTGGAAGAAAATTTCCAAAGAAGAAAAGAAGAAAAAAAAAAAGAAAAGAAAGGCAAAAAAAGAATTCAGCCATCAGATTCTAAGGGGGTTGCAATGAGGTCACAGGAGCTGTGTATGCATGGCTCCATCAAATCAAGGGAATGCCTAGGACTGAAAACTTGGGGGGTAGGGGAGGCTGAGGGTGAGGGGGGCAGCCTGAGATGGTCTTGGGGTGCCTGCACAGGAAATAAATCCCAGCTCCCTCACTCTGCAGGCTGCCCGGTCCCAGCCTCAGCCCAGGCTTGGTCACTAAGTCGCCCAGGGTGAAATCTGGCTCAAGTCGGTAAACAGAAAGACAAACAGAAGAAATCAAAAGTGCCAAAGGCCCCTCCCCTCCTCCTCTGTAAATAATAGTTAGGCTTATAATTATAGAGTGGGGGGCGGGGTGGGGAGAGGGGGGCGCTGCGGCCTGGGCCGGCTGGGCTGGGAGCAATGGCTTCCACGACCCAGCCTCGGATTGTCCCCAAAGAGTGAGACTCATTTTTCTCCGCTCTTTGAAACTGATTTAAGTGGCCCCTTTAAAACTGATCTTGTCAGTTTAGCCCATTGAGGGGCAGCCATGCAGACTCTGATCGCTCTGTTCATTTGAGCTGTTTCTCTCTCCCCCTTTCTCCTCGCTCCCCCTTTCTCTCACCCCCTTTATTTATTTATTTATTTATTTAGTTTTTAATAAAATAAAATAAAAAACTCAGGCCCCATCCAGAGAGAAAGCCCCCCCACACACACACACCCTTCCCCGTTATCTCCAGAAAAACGTTTCTTTTTCGGAAACGTAGGGAAATACAATAAGTGCCTTTGAGATGAGAGGCGGCTCCGTGGAGGAGGCGCAGGTTGTGACCTGACCTCAGGGGGCCCCCCCAGACAAGACTGGGCTGACACACACACATTGTGCATCTTAAAGCGGGGCCTGCAGACCAGTCTCCTCCACCCCGGACCCAGTGATCTCCTGAGAGTCTCGGGGACCCTGCCTGCCTGCGCCCCGCTCTGTGCCTGTGGACAGGAACCAGGAGATCCGCTTGCCTAAGACTCCTCCCTGAGCATCCGCACCTGTGCTCCCCAGATAACGGGGACTCCTCTATCTCCTGGGGGGTGATTTGCATTCCCCACACAGGCCTGTGCGCTTTGCAAATAGCAATAAATTAAACTCTTAGGGCAGGATCAGGCATTCCTTCCCTCCGAAGACAACAATGATAGCCAGAAATTTGCAGCCACCCCCTGGTCCAGGGAGTGGGGTTGGGGGTGGGGTGGGGGCCGGGTGGGTGGAAGTTTCAGGGGGTGGGGGGCCATCCTGATGGCAGGTTTGCACCAGGCAAGCGGTCCAGTTCTGACAGGTCCCCCAAGGAAACAGAATTCAGGTGCCAGCCGCTGACATGGCCATTCCTGGCCATCCACTGCCCTTTAACTGATCACCTACGGACTTCGGAGGGCAGTTTGGGGCGGCTGGGAGGGGGTTTGGGGGCAAAAGCAGCCATACTGAGAAGGCTCAGGACCTATACCAGAAGGGGTCCCAGTTCTCCTTCCCATGGTGAGGTAGAACGGGACCTTTTTGTCCGCCTTCCTGACCGCAACGCTGTCTCCTGGAGCTGAGCACACAGGGGGTGACTGGGTTCCCAGCCCCAAACCCGCGCCCCAGGGGTGGGTGTGCTGAACTGGGCACCCCTTCCCCACTCCAGCCTTGACAAAGGGATCAGCTGACAACTTAGCATGAGAAGGTGGGGGGCAGGGGGGGGCAGGAGGCTCAGGTGTGGGCCAAAGCGGGGAGGCAGGCACTCGCAAAAATCATTTGGCCTCGAGAGTTAATTAATATGAGATCTATTACTCACACAGGTTAAACTACATGCGAGCTAATTAGATTTCATCATGCAGCCGCTGATGGTTTTATACCGCCAGCAACATTCACACGCAGCCCGAGCTGGCAGCCACTTGGAGTTGTTTGAGAATCGCCTCAAGTGTTTGCCTGGCCAGGAGGGGTGGGGTGGGGGGCACAGGCCGGCTCCCCAACCCAGGCAGACACTCTGAAAAGTGACCCCTCTCCCTCCGGCCCCTGCCTGGCAGCCCGCTCCCCTCCCCCGGCCGCCTGCATCATTGTCTTAGAAAGAATCCCAGTCTCGAAATCGGTGCCCTGGAGTTGGGTCTGCCAGGATCTACCACTCCAACTGAGTTAACAGGCAAACTTTCGCTCCAGGCCCGCCCCTGTGCCCTGGGGCACCTCCCGGAGGCCAAGCCGGGGTGCCAGGGGGAACCTTGGGCACTGACAGGACCCCACAGGCTCAGCTGGCCCGGGGCCTGGGCTCGGGGAGGGTGGCGGAGCGCACAGCCCAGCCTGGCAGGAGGGCAGGAGGACAGCAGGCCCCGTAGGCCTCCCCTGGCCCATTGCAGCGCGTGTGCCTGCAGCATCCTGCCTGCAGCCCGGCCTTCCTCTCCTCCTGCCTGCTCCGAGTTCTCCTCCAGGCAGCCTGGCTTTTGGGGGGAGGCTGGGCTCACTCTGGGGCCTCCCTGGAGGGAAGGCGAGGCTCCTCGAGAGAGTGCTCCCTACCTGAGGTGAACAGGACGATGGCCTTGAGGCAACTGTATTCGGCGGAGTCCACGTGCAGGGCCTTGAGCTTCTCCACTTGCTCCTGGAAGATGCGTATGTGGTCCATAAAGGCGACCACCCGGTCGGCGGACATGGGCGAGGCGTGCAGGCCGGCGGCGGCCAGCAGCGGGGCGACGTGGAGGGGCATGGAGCACTGCGCCGCGTTCAGCACGAACAGCTCGCTCCAGGTGAGGCGCAACAGGGCCACCTGGTCGGTGATCTGCAGGTCGGGGAAGAAGGGGATGTTGCGGGCCCACTCCACGGCGCTGAAGAGCATCCGAGCGGCCAGTTCGCAAATGTTCTCGATGCCCATGATGTTGTTGGGCTGCATGCACTGGCTGCCGAAGCGCGACGTGGGGTAGGGCTCGGCGCGCAGCAGCAGCGAGATATATCCCGACAGGTAGGAGTGGCAGTTGAGGGGGTCCCCGTTGGTCAGCGCGAACTGCCCGTGGGTCGGCTGGGTGGGAGGCATCCGGCCCCTCTGCACCGCTGTGGGGGGGAGAGAAGACACAGGGGTGAGCGTCCGGCCTCGGTCCCCAGCGCCCCTATCTGGGCCTGCCCCGGCCCAGCCCCTGGACCCCGAACCGGGGTGCAGGCCTGCCCCTCCCGGGACCCGCGGATCCCCCCGCCATCCGCGCCCAGGCCGCTTGCCCGCGGGGCCGCTCGGCGCTGGGCCGCGCAGCCCCCCGAAGTGGCCGCTTGGCCGCGGGGTCCCGGCGCGGGGGGTGGGATGGACATGCCGGGGGCATCTCTCTCCTTTATGGCCAAACAGCTGCTATTTCTTATTGATCGGAGGAGAGGCGGCGGGAGGGGCGAGTCTGGGAGGGAAAGACGCTTTTGCAAAAGACGCAAGCTTCGCCCCATGGCCTGTGGCCGCTCCGGATGCCTCTCCCCCGAACCCCAAAGCCCCGGTTCCAGCTCCGGCCCCGGCCCCGGCCAGGAGGGGGCCTCCCGGGGAGAGCCGAGCCGAGAGCCGAGCTCCGCGGGCAGCCCGATCGGCGTGCCGGGAGCCGGCAGCGGGAGCGGCGGGGAGCGGAGGCCGGCGGCGGCGAGGGGAAGCCGGGGAGAGGCGGGCAGCGAGCGGCCGGCGCGGCCCGCGGAGGCCCCGGGAGGCCGGGGAGAGCCGGCCGTGTTCGGGCCGGGGCCGCGATCGGGTGCCGGACGGGGGTGGGGGGGCGGGGATCGCGCTCCGGAAACACAAAGAAAAGCCCGGCCACCCCTCGCCCCGGCCCGGAGCCCGCGCCATTGGCCGCGAACGTTCGATCACAAAGACCCGCCTGGCGCCGAGCGGCCGCCGGGGCCCGCGCCCACCCGGCCCGGCCTCCCGGGCGCGCTCCCCTCCTTTCCAAAAGCGAAAGGAAAAAAAAAAAAAAAAAGGAAAACGGAGGGATTTTTTTTTTTTAAAGCAGAATGGTAATCCACGGAGGGTCACATGAGCGCAGCCGGGGCGGCGGCGCGAACGCGGCGGAGTGCAGAAAATTGCCGTTTGTAACCTGAACCTCCCGTGCAAAAGTACGACCTCAGGTCGGGGTGTTTTGGGGGGGAGGGTGGGGGCCGGGGAGGAGGGACGTGTGGGGAACATGCAGGAGAGACCGGGAGGGAGTCAGAGGAGCCGGAGGGAGAAGGAAAGGCGGCTTGCAAACAACAACAGGCAGCCGCCCCAGGAAAGGCGACTGGAAGGCGCTCGAAACGGGGCCGGTGGAAAGATCGAGGAGGAGCTGGCCGGCCAGAGCATGCGGATCTGGGGGGCCTGGGGGGTCAGGGTTCCTGTGCACGACTTGCTCGGAGCAGAGCCGCGATGGCCGAGCAGAGCCCGGGGCTCCGGCGGGCGGGCGTCCTTACCCAGCCAGCCAGCCAGCCGCACGCACCCCCCCGGGCCCCAACCCCGGGCGATCGGGGGGCGATCGGGGGCTGCGGGGAGGGGGAGAGGAAGGAGAGGCCGATACCTTCCCGCCTCATGCCCACTTTGAGGCACTTTTTGAGGCGGCAGTACTGGCACTGGTTGCGGTGGTGCTGGTCGATGGGACAGTTCCGGTTGGCGCGGCACGTGTAGCTCAGGTTCCTCCGTACGCTGCGCTTGAAGAAGCTCTTGCAGCCCTCGCACGTGAACTGGCCGTAGTGCTTGCCGCTCGACTTGTCCCCGCACACCACGCACTCGATGTGCTGCTGCTGCTGCTGCTGCTGCTTGTCGCCGCCGCCGCCGGGGCCCCCCTGGCCGCCGCCCGCCGTCTGCGCCGGGGTGCTGGCCGGGCCCCCCTGGCCGGGCGTCTGCGGCGTGTGCGGGGCGCCGGGCGGCGGGCCGCCGGGCACCGGGGGCGCCTGCGAGGCCTGGCTGCCCTGCGAGCCGGGCACCTCGTCCTGGGGGTCGCGCCACGTGCTGACTACC